AATTTATATGGATCAAAATTGCAATAATATTGACTAGCAAAGATGATAGTAATAAAAACAAAACCACAGGATATAATTTCAAATATTAATGAAACAAAACTAAGTATCTCCTGGAATGTAATTAGTAATGTTATGGAAAACTTGCTTGGGCTGTGCGCACAAATCTCCACCACACTCAAAGGTACACTTTCAAATCAATGCGCAACCAACTCCACCGCGCTTAAAAGCACGTTGTATTAAGCTCTTTGGTATAATGTAATTAGGTACTTCTGTAGTGCCAGACAGATTCAGGCAAGACGCTGATTCAAGCTGGAGGTTCAGTATCCAAGTGTGTCTGACCACGAGTCCCTCCGTTTATTATACAGCAAAAGGGTTAACGCCCAGAGGGAGATGGCTTTACAACATCAGCCAATCAGCCTCAAAATGTACAGTTACATAAAAGAAAAGGGGGAGTACACCAATGTGAATGAGCAGAGAAGTGTTCATGTCTCACTAGTGTTAAACAAAGGACTATGATCTGCTGAGTCATGTACATTGCCCCGATCAGCCACGTGTATGCACATCCGCCATCTTAGCCAGCATAGACCCCATTTAATACTGTTCATAATGACCAGTATCTATTAAGATCATCCTATTTGTTGTTACAGATTTGAGACCATCTGTGGACACATTGCTAATGGTATTGCCAATGTACGGTACGAGTACACCAGCAAGGCATAAATCAATGTCTTCTCATCAAAGGAGATATGTATCCAAAAAGGATAGCGCAGCCGCAACAGAAATATAATGCATATCTTTCGTTATGCAGTCTTCGCTAAAATGCATAGACGTCCGCTGGCAATAAGCCAAGCGCATTGCGCTGGATACTTACAAAACCGGCAAATGCGTACATACACTGCAGACACGTCTCCAAGCCCATAAGAAGGTTTTCATACTGACAGTTTTACCACAGGTCCCGATTCAACCCAAGCACGCTCTGCTAAAGCGTCCCTCGGTTGAATACGACACAGGGAGACAGGTGACAATCTATAAAACACACACATCCTAGAATAAAAATGTCCATATTATAACATTTTCACAACAGTAACTAAGCAAAATGTGACAAAATAATGTGCAGATTCAACACATGACCTCTCCCAGCCAAACATGTTCAAAGCTCAAAGTCCTTACTTCGCATTAACTAACTTTACTATGCACAGGACTGGCGAAAATCAGCCAAGAATCTATTTAAAGTGACATTAAAGTCAAAGTTCCCCCCCCCCCCCTTAAATGATGTCTCTTAATCCGATCTTCTTCTTTACTGTCCTTTTTCAGCTGTCCCTCCAGCGCAGGTAAGGGTCTCCAATCCAGCGCTGACTCCTCTGTCCTCCTCTTCTCTGCTGTCCCACGTTGTCTGTGCTGGTGCATGCTGCTCCATATACTTGGCTTGTGTCTCTCCTCATCTCTCGGTCGAACATCTGAAGTGCGCATGCGCCCACCCCAAGATCCTTTGCGGCGCCTGAGACTCTTCAGATGTTCGGACGGGAGCATGCGGCGGAGACACAAGGTAAGTTTTAAACCCTTTTTAAAAGGTTTTTTTTTTGCATATATTTACTGCTTGCTAGTAGTAGATATATGCAAAAACATGCAAGGGTTTAATAACCCTTTAAGGTTAACACAAACTTCCACTAAGTTATTTTATGTATATATCACAGCTAGGCCATTGACTAGAAACTGAAATCGGCTTCAAGAAAAATATTTCTGCCAAGATTGAAAGGTAGACAATTTTTACTGCAGATACAATTTTACTCCAATTCAAACCTGATGCTAACAATGACTAAATAGTTTAGTTAGCTACCCTGTTTCCCCGAAAATGAGACCTACCCCGATAATAAGACCTAGTACTATCTTTGGGAATTGCTAAAATATAAGACCTACCCCGAAAATAAGACCTAGTTGTGACCTTTCCCAGGGCTGGTGGTGGCATAAGGGGGAACTTGAAGAGCCGCGGGAGAGAATTGGCGGTGCCAACGAAGCCAGCACTAGAGGAAGTGAGGCGGCAGCGGAGGGAGCAGAGCCGCATAAGCCAATGCTTCCTTTATAGCGCCGACTCCTGTCACAGGCGGAGTCATACCAAATGCACTCTGCCTGTGAGGAATCGATAGTGAAAGCGCGCTTCGCCCATTCTGGCCAGCAATTGGTTACCTAATTGCTCTTGGAAAGGTACGGCACCCCTGATTGCCCTGATCACCCTATTCTTGACTTTGCCATTTTGGATTATTTAACCGCTTGAAGACCAGGTGTTTAGACCCCCTTCCTGGCCAGGCCATTTTTCAGTGTTCAGCGCTGCAGTACTTTGACTGACATTTATTCCGTCATGCAACGCTGTACTGAAATTAATTTTATACAATTTTTTTGGGGAGAGATAGAGCTTTCTTTTAGTGGTATTTAATCACCACTGCAGATTTTATTTTTTACTGTATTCAGGAGAAATTACTGAAAATTTTGAAAAAAAATAAGTTTTTTTTAACATTATGTTATAAAACAACTAATAATACCCACTTTTTTGGTAAAATATAAAAGACGGGGTCACGTCGGGTAAATAGACACCAAACATGTCAAGCTTAAAAATTGCGCGCACTCGCAAAATCGCAAAAAACTAGCATATTCAAAATTGGCCATAGGCAACGCTTTAAAAGCTTTTACCGCTCATCAGTTTAGTGTTATCAGTGATTGATGGCCCTAGACTTATTGCTCTCATTCCGACGTTCGCAACGATATGTAACATGTGCGGCGTAATGGGCGCAATCGTCATTTTCGCAGGTATGCGCAGCTGACGCATGTTTACATGCGTGTATGTAGGGGTGGGGACTTAAAACATTTTTTTTGTTTTTTTTTTAACTCTTTTTTTTTGTGTAACTTTAAAAAAATTTGGGGGGAAACTTTCAATTTTTTTACAATTTTTTTTTTACGCTTAACTTTATTGCTATCACAGAGGGGGCTGAGAAACCCCCTTATGTGATAGCAAAAGAGGTGACAGGTCCTCTTTATGGAGACATCAGGGTCTCCAAGACCCCTAATGTCACCTAGGACCCCCCCTGAACAAGCTGATGAAGCAGAGATCTGCTTCATCAGCTTCTCTCCAGCATCTGAAGCTGGAGAGTGACACGAGAATGCGGAAGTGATGTAATATACACCACTTCCGCATTCTGACAGCGGAGAGGGGACCGGAGGGAGATCGTGTACCGAGCTCCCTCTGATCCCCTGTGACAGAGGCACTATGCTGGATCCCGGGCTCACACCGGAGCCCGGGACCAGCTTGGGAGGGGGAGAGCCGCGGAGGGGGCGCACGTCTCTGGGCCTTAGCCGGCGGATGGCTTGTATATTAGCCGGCGGATCGCTTGTATATTAACGGGCATCGCTGCCTCTTTTCAAATAGCGGGGGGTTCCCACTCGCGCGCGCCGCGCCTGAGCGGGCGGATGTAACAGTTACATCCAAGAAGCTCCCGGCCGGCCGTGTATACACAGCGGCTGGCCGGGAGGTAGTTAATTTGGATTTGCATTAATTTTGGATTGTTGTACATTAAAATAAAAAATAAGACCTACCCCGAAAATAAGACCTAGTGTGTTTTGAGCCAAAAAAAATATAAGACAGCGTCTTATTTTCGGGGAAACACGGTATATCTGGCTAGTAAATGGAAATCTATACTTTACCAAAATTGAAAATTCTTTTGTCTTAGAGATTTCAACTTTGTGTCAGTGTAGGGGCAAGAGATGCTCAGGTTCTCTTTGGTTTAGTTCCCCCTGCAGCCCGTCAATCTGCTTCAGAGTTCTCCTTGTGTCTGTGTCCGTCCTCCTGTATCAGTTCTTTGTTTTTTTTTCCCAGTCTTCCGTCCTAAACTTTCTACTAACTTTTATCACCTGGAAATGTGGGAGAATAAAGCTTATCTTAACCTAATTATGACGTTACTCACTCAGATCACTTTACTCCAAATTACCTGAAGAGGACAATGTTGGACTAGGAATAATTTTGGATTTTTCCTTAAAATTCCAATATTATTCCATGAGATGATCTCTGACCTAGGTCCATAAAATTAAGAAAAAATCCGATACCTTGACAGAACTTGTCAGACTTGCTGTCTCTTAAAGAGATGTATTGCTTGAGAAAGTCTGAGCAAGAAAAACAACTCTATTCTACATACATTGAGAATGAAATAATTTGTACTAAGGCAGTGGTTAACTCACATTCTTTTGCTGATTACATAAATAACAATATACCTTTGGTGCACAGTCATGTTGGAACAGGAAGGGCCATCCCCAAACTGTTCCCAGAAAGTTGGGAGCATGAAATTGTCCAAAATGTCTTGGTATGCTGATGCCTTAAGAGTTCCCTTCACTGGAACTAAGGGGCCAAGCCCAACCCCTGAAAAACAACCCCACACCATAATCCCCCCTCCACCAAACTTTACCCTTGGCACAATGCAGTCAGGCAAGTACCGTTCTCCTGGCAACCGCCAAACCCAGACATGTTCATCGGATTGCCAGACAGAGAAGTGTGATTCGTCACTCCAGAGAACATGTCTCCACTTCTCTAGAGTCCAGTGGCGGCTTGCTTTACACCACTGCATCCCACACTTTGGTGATGTAAGGCTTGGATGCAGCTGCTCGGCCAAGGAAACCCATTCCATAAAGCTCTCTACGCACTGTTGTTATGCCAATCTGAAGGCCACACGAAGTTTGGAGGTCTGTAGCTATTGACTCTGCAGACAGTGGGTGACTTCTGTGC